GCAGTTATAGTTCGCGCATGCATGTATGTATACAAGTATTGTATATAAAATGCATAAATATTTGTATTAATTACTGCCATTAAATTGTAACGTTTAATTAATTTTAATAATTAAATATATTTCATATACGTAATATTTTATGTTATAATTTACATTTATATTTAAATTTTTATTAGACAAATTGTTTATATATGCTAATAAATGTGAAATTACGCGTAGATCATCAGATAAATAAATCTAAAGATGATTATGCACGCCATCAAATCTATTCCATATGCCTTAATTATATCATAAAAATAGCAAAAAAGAAGAAACAGAAATTCACAACGCTAGATCGGTTAGTTATGAAAATTTTTCGCGAACGTAGCAGAAAGAAGAGGGACTCGCAGTTTCAGCAGTATTACGACCGCTGCTCTTCAAAACGCGCAGAGGGTACCCGCTTTTCCCTCTTCTCTTTTTCAGCTTTCTCTCCTTCTCTTTTTCACCTTTCTCTCCTTCTCTTTTTCGTCTCCTCTCTCAGAACCCTTTTCTTCCTGCCAGTAGTATCTGTCTCGGTCCACGATTCTACTTCTACACTCAACGTTGCTATCATCCCCCCCACTCACTATTCTTTCCACTTCTCTCCCCCCCCCCTCCTTCACTTCGCAACTTCTCTATCCTCCCCCTCTCTCTCTCTTCCTCCCTTCTTCTCTCTCCCACTTTCTGTCTCTCTCACGCCGCATCCCCCCACCCTACCACTCAATCTGCTCTCTTCCTTCTATTCGCTATCCCTTACGCGACTTCTCCTTCTTCTTCACTCTGTTCCTGACCTTTTCTATTCAAGAGATGTGATTGCAGCTTGCATATTTTACGAGACCAGCCTCGAAGCGTATGCTCATCTTTATCCATCTATCCGTCTATGTTGTATTCGTCTGTTCGCCAACTCAACCCCTTGCACTTCTCGTCGCACCACCAAGATTTTACCCTTCGCGCTTTCTCTCTCTCTCTCAATGCTTTGTTTCGTGATTAACCTTTAAAGTTATTCGTTACGAAAATTTACAATGCAAAATCTTTTGGATTTACTTAACGATCAGTTTTATTTAAATAACGATAAATTGGGATTAGATAGACAAAATCATTTTCGGGATATCGTTGTTGTTTCGATATTGAACGAGATTTATCACGCTCGAAATGATCTAATTATTCCCCTCCTACTACATTTTTTACTGAATTAAACGATACATTCAATATGTTTCATCATATAGAAAATCATGGAAATAAAAATTCAGTTGTATGTAAATTCAGGAGTAATAACCTAACCTATAAGTAATAAAGATATTTGGAGATTTTATATATCGAGATGTATAATAATCTGTATTTTATTATATCTATAGATCTAATTATTCCCCTCCTACTACATTTTTTACTGAATTAAACGATACATTCAATATGTTTCATCATATAGAAAATCATAGAAATAAAAATTCAGTTGTATGTAAATAACCTAACCTATAAGTAATAAAGATATTTGGAGATTTTATATATCGAGATATATAATAATCTGTATTTTATTTTTCTATAGATCGATCTTCTAATCGACTCATATGTTATACTCAAATCGATATAAGAAAAAGAGAGATACGTATGAAATAAAAAGATACGATATACGAGACACGTTCTTTCGACGCTGTTAATACCATTTATAATCATCGAACGAACAAATTACATGTTTTTTACTTGAAAACATGAAATCTGGGTAATTATAATACTCCATTTTTTGGAGTATTATAGAGCTTTCACAGCGCTTTCATAAATACTGTAATTAGGGTAGATCTTTCTTCACCCAAGCTTTATCGTAATATGACAAATCACGCTTAATGCATCTTCTCTTCTCCCTTCTCGACTATAATACCATCTTTTATTTCTTTTCTTTCCTTCTTGTAAATATATCAATTTATTTTATTACGATATAAAATAGTTTTAACAGTCTTTTCCATTTAATCTCAATGTTCTTTTCATCGAAAAAATTAGTATAGGTTAGGATTTAAATAACATAATATTTGTTATAGATTAGAGTTCAAATTAAGAAAAGATGGAAGATGAAAAATTCGAGAGAGAGAGAGAGAGAAAAGAAATTATGCAAAAATGTAGCGAATATGAAGAATGCAATAATCAATAGCTTTGCAAAGAATAAAATCCCTTGATATCGTCGCCCTATATCCAATGGTAATCCAGTGGAGGCTGTCACGCGAAAACACGTTTTGCATGCAAAATCGACGGACCAAATAACCGAGAGAAGCATTTCAAATTCCCTGACCAAGAGCCGTCTCTGTCGAGAATCGATATCTGCCTCCAACCGAGAGAAGCGATCGTTTTCGAAGGAACTGATTCGACCTTTCGTTGAAACGTATAGATTGTATAATATCACGGCATGTACATGTATATATAAATCGATCTTATCAGCATGAAAATGGGATCGTAACAGCACCATTTCGCCTAGCTCCGTATTTCCGAAAATATATATATATATATATATCGAAGGTGTCAAAGATATTTCTTGGTTCGAATACCACGAGATCGAATTTAGATTCCATTTCTCTGATTTTGTGCACACGTCAATCAATTACTTAATTTATTCTTCTAAGAAAATTATATATAT